CTGCCTCTCAGACACCTCCAGCTGGATGTCCTGCAAACATCTTAAACTCAACATGTCCAAAACTAACGTCATCATCTGTCCCTCAAACCTTCCCCTCTCCTAATCATCCCTATTCCTGTTAAGGGAATCGACATCTTCCTAGACCCTCGGACTCACAATCTAGGAGTCATTCTGGACTCCTCAGTCTCCCACCACCACATCCAAGGCCTGTGGATTTTACCTTCCTATTATCTCTCCAATATGCTCCCTTCCCTCCTCTGACCCCGGGGCAGACCCTCATCCCCTCACACCGGGTCCATTGCGGCACCTGCTGCCTCAAGTCTCCCACTCCAATCCATCTTCCCCTTGCAGATCAGAAGCGCGCTGAGGGGGGAGGCTCTAAGCCTCAGCTTTATATCCCCGTGGCGAGCCCAGGGCCTTTACTAGCTCAGCGAGAAGAAACAGCATCTCTCACCTCCCCTGTGTTAGACACAGCAGATGCTTAGTAAATGTGCTTGTTGGTTTTTTTAACTGAATTGAGCTGAACCTGGAGCCACTGTGTGTCCCCGGACACGAACAGAAGAAACCCGAGCGGGAATTGTCACAGCTGGGATCCGATCGCTCTCGTTGGCTTTGCCCAGCACCCCTTCCCTGGGCTCCTCAGTCACAAGCCGGCTGGCCAACAAAACCTGGCGAGTTCGCAGCTTCCACGTTCCCAAAGCGTCGGCAGGGGACCCAGACGTGCTCCCAGCCTCACTTCGCGTGCGTTCAGGAGGGCAAAAAAATTGTTTCTCGTCTTGAAAAAGAAGCTTCCTTTTCCTCTCTTTCTTTTCTTTTTTAAGCCCTAGAGCCTCCCTGTTTGTCAGTCTTATTGTCTTGAGACCATCCCCAGCTGAATAATGAGTCTTGGAGCTGCTAAGCACAGATGCGGAATTCTCCTCTGTTGGCAGTAAATGAGTCCGGCCCCTCTCCTCAGAACACGGCTGTTCTTATGTTCTTCTTCAGCCCAGGTTCCTTTCTCAAAAGATAAGGCAGGGTTTTTTTTGTTTTTCTGTTTTTTTTTTTTCTACCCCAGGTAAAGGAAAGATTTAGCATATCATAGAGGACCGGCCCGCGCACTCCAGCAACAGCCCAGATTGGCTTAGAAGAGCCCTATTCAAGGCCATAATTCCAACTCCAAATGTAGCTCCAGGGATAAGAAGTCTTTTCTTCTGCCTTTTTAATTGGGTACTCAATGCTTTGTTCAGCCGAGCCCTGACTGGGACAGAAAGGGAATGAAAACCACTAACACTCCCCAAACGCACCCTCGCCATTCTCCCACCGCGTGTGCAGGAGCAGCAACCGAGTTCACACGATCTGTCCTGGATCTCTTCCTCTGATTCTGCCAAGCTGCTTTCCGGTCTTGAGAGCAAGGAGCTCCGAAATGGCAGGAGCAGGGGTTGGGGAGGAGAGAGAGGGATGAGGCTTACACTGTGCCAGGCGTGCTGCTAAGTGCTGGGGAGAGAAAGAAAGGCATAACTGGGCCCTGTCCTCGAGAAGCTCCCTGTCCAATGCGCGAGACAACCTGTCAATCGGTGGGACCAAACTCAAATAGAAACGGGGCCACTGAGCCACATGTATTGACCTGAATACCCCCACATAGTCACACTATCTATACTCTGCTGCACATTTGCCATGGGGTTAACAATTTCCCAATTGTATTTTAACCCCACACCTCTAACGTATAACTAGGTCCCCACCAGATACAGAGAGTAGATGGAAAGTCATCTCAGTTGGGGAGGGGGAGGAGAAAGACCGCTTGCAGGTAGTGGGATGTGAGCTGAGTCTTCAGGTGGCCAGAGAGGGAGAGCATTCCAGGACCCTGGGAAAACCGGGACATGCGAAGGAGCAGAGATGCATGATGGCACTACCTTCAAGAAGCTCCCAGCAGGCCCCTGCTGCTGGAATGCAGGTCGTGCAGAAGGGATTAAGGAGTGTAAAGTGTGGGAAAGCAGGAAGAGATCAAGTGGCGAGGAGAAGCAAAAACCCATGGCCTTTTTTTTGCCCACAGAGGGCCAGTGGAAAGAAGTCACTGAGTCAAAGGGAGACGGCTGGGGAGGCGTCAGGCGCTGCTCCCTCTCTGGGTTTCCCTCAGCCCACTCTGGAGCCCTGCCCATCTCCTGGCTCCAGGCTCCTCCTCTGGATGTAGATACTTACCCAGGATGGGAAACAGGGCCCCCAGAGCAAGAACTGCTTCTCCAAATCATTGCCTACGCTGACCCCATCCCTGTAAGGTAAGAAGAGACCCTGTGATCTACTCCATCACTGGATATTTACCGTACAGCCACTGCTACGTGCCCACCTCTGCGTTGGGCACTTCGAAGCGGATGATGCTCTCTGTCCTCAAAGAGCTTACATTCAGCCTGGGGAGAAATTCCACCCATCATTGAAGAGCCGGCCCAGAATTCAAGCAGGAGGAAATTGGACCCATTCATGGTCAGAACGCTGTGCAGCCCTTCCAGAGATGCCAGGCCACAGCCCATCCTTTTATCCCCAGCATCCTCCCAGCAATGTTCTACGGCTATAGTTCTCGGGACCCCAGCACAGCCCAGGAGGTAATTACAAAGAACCCAAAGGGCACCGGAAAGATACTCAGCTTTTGTGGGTCAGCTGGGTCTATTGTCAGTAACACCACCAACGACTTATGGCGTCAAGGAAATGTTTAGCCAGGAAAGGATCACAGGAGCACAGACTTACAGCCAGGAGGGACCTCGAAGTTCATCCATTCCCACCTACTCATTTTATAGATGAGGAAAAGCCAGGCCTAGAAAGGTTGCATAACCTGTCCAAGGTTACACGGACCATCAAATGTCACAGCGCTCCCTGGTTCCAGATCCTCTGGCTCAACATCCAGAGTCTTTCTGTTGCCTCTTGGGGTCAAATATCCAAAATGAGAGGTAACAGACAGCCCCAAGACCGGGAGGTCCAAGAAACTGAGAGCATTAGAAGAAGGCCTCCTAGAGGGTTTATAAGAAACACTTAAGTAAGACAGACTGAGAAGCAGGAAGAGGCTGTGATCTCCACCTCAGACGGGAAGAACACACAAAGGAAGCCGTGCATCGCCCAAGTGTGTATCTAAGGGTTGTCCATCCAAAGGCCTCTTAATGGCTGCATTATCCATAAACTTACCAGCTCAACGCGGAAACTAGGAGAGGGAAAGACAACAGTGACTATAGGTGTGTGTGCTATCTTCCCCATTAGAATGTAAGCTCCTTGAGGGCAGGAACTGTTTCATTTTTGGTTTCCTACCCTCCGTGCCAAGCCCAGTACCCAGCATATAGCAGGCGCATAATAAATGCTGGTTGGCCGACAAGAGCATCTAGACGAGGCCTCTCGTGTGTCCCAAACTCAGCAGACACTTCCCCTCACCTCGCTGGTTGCCTCAAACAACAATACACTTCCAGTCGATAGAGCACCATTCTAATTCCTTGCCTCTGAGACGTCTGAGTCCTGAGATAACCCTCAGGAAGGAAAGCCAGCGGAGGCGCTGCAGGTGGGGTACTGCCTGAGCAAGAGTCTGGGCTTGGCCACGTGCTGCCCATGAGACTTTGGGCTACTCATCACACCTCTCTTACCTCGTTTCTGCCTCTGTAAAATGTGGCGGCTAATATCTGGCCTAGAACATGAGGGAGTGGGGAGAGTGCTGGTCTTACAAGTCATGGAGAACTGGGTTCAGATGCCAGCTCAGACATCTGATAGTTGTGTGACCATGGGTAAGTCATTCACAGTGCTGACCTTTAACTTGTTCATGTGTGAAAGGGAGAGAACAACTGCAATGGAATAAAAAAAGGAGAATCTCACTCAAAATAATGACAAAATGCATAAAATATCTGAGTTTCAATCTCCTAAAGTACGGTTAATACCTCTCTCTCTCTCTCTCTCTCTCCCCTTATGTATGTGTATGTGTGACATTATAAAATGTCCTTTACAGGAATAAAGACCAATTTAAATACCTAGATGGAAATGTAGTGCTCATGGCTGGGCCTTGCCAATATGATGAAAATAACAATACTTCCTAACTTAATTTGCGGATATAGTACTGTACCAATCAAACTACCAAGGGAGTATTTTGTGTATAGAGGTAGACAAAACAAGGGCAAAACTTATTTGGAGGAACAAAAAAATCTAGAATGTCAAAAGAAATGATGGGGGGAAGAAATGACCATGGAAGAGCTTCTGCAAACTTCAAACTATGTCACAAGGCAGCCAACATCAGAACTATTTGGGGCTGGTTGAAAAATGGAGAAGTAGATCAATTCAGGAGACTAGACAAGAACCAGAAGTAACCGAACTCAATAATTCAGTATCTGATGAACCCAAAACACAAATTACCTCAGAAGACCTCCCAATCTGACAAAAATTGCTGGGAAAGCAGCAGTCTGATAGAAATATTAGGCTTAGGGCAACATCTTATACCATGCTCTGTAATAAATCCAAACAGAAACACAAACTGAATAGTAAAAGACCATTGCAAAAGAAACAAAGAAAAGAATTGTATAAGATACTTTTCATAGCTATGGCTAGGGGGTAAATTCTTAACCAAAAATTGAGTCAACTGCAAATAAACAGACACATAAATCAATCAATCAATAAACCTGATAATTTTAACTCTAAGAAACTGAACAGCTTTCACATAAACAAAATTAACAACTAGGATAAGGAGAAAGGAAGTAGAATGGGAGAAAGTCTTTGAATGTAAAGGTCTGATAAGGGTGTGATACGCAATATATGCAGGCAATGAAATTTAAAACCAAATACACGGCTAAAAGCCATTCATTCCCGGTAGATAAATGAGCCCAGGATGGTCGGTGTTGCAGGGGCTGCAGAAAGCAGGCACTCTAAGGCACTTAGAAGACGGCTGTCTCGCAAGGTCGGGCCTTCTTGCACTGGCCCAGCCACGCTGGTCGGCCCTCTGCTATACATGATTGGAGGAGCCTAGAGAAGAGTCACAACATTCCCAAGGAGAAAGAAAAGGCCACCAGGTAACATCCCAGGCTTGCTGGGGACATACGGCTTTATTTTCAGGGACGGGGGGGAGATGGGAGGGCACAGGACAATTAACAGGATTACACAGTTTCTGGCAATAGGATTTGTCTCAGCGGAAAAGTGTTCCACTTGCTGTGGGTGGGCATCAGCCCTGGAGGGAAGACTTCATATCCAGAGCCGAGCAGCACCAAGGGCAGCATTGAAGGTGCAAAGAGCACCATAGATCCCCCGCGATGCCAGTAGCAGCGAGCCAGCCTCCACGCTGTGGCCAGCCTCCCGCAGTTGACAGGCTATCTCATCCACAGACCAAGGACCTTCCTTCTGGTGGGCCAAGAGGTGGTTGATGAGATGAGGATAAAAAGGAGTGGAAATACATCTTGCCACCAACTTGGCATCCAGGAGTATGGAGAGTAGCTCGGGGTCACAGCTGGAGTCATCCACCTTCAAAAGAGAGAGACAGGCCAAGATGGCAGACTACCCAACTGAACTCTCCCAACATTCCCTTGCAAACAACTTTAAAATAACATCTCAAATCTCATTTTGGAGCAGCAGAGCCAACAAAAGGTTGAGGTGAGACATTTTTTCCAAGCTTAAGAAAACTTAGCAGGTCCAGGACAGAGGTCTGGAGGTCCATCCAGACTTCACACACATGGTAGCAGCAGTAGGGCTGGGAGGGACAATTAGAGGAGGTAGTGGTTAGAAACAAAATAGACTTCAGAGGATGGACAGGATAAGGGGAGGGAGAGGGAGAGGGAGAGAGAGAGAGAGAGAGAGAGAG